ACAATCAAACATATTCTTCTTAAAGTTGGTTTTAGACAACTGTATCAGCTTCTGAAAAACCTCATCCCGGGAATCTGCAGACGTAGGACATGCTAAAATATACTTTTTGAGTCAGTGTTCTCGTCCGATCACTGCAGTTAAGCAACGTTGGAAGCGGTCAGTACTTGCATGGGTGACCGACTGGAAATACCGAGTGTGGCCGGCACACGGGCAGTATCCCAGCCGTCACACATATCAAAAGAGATTTGTGTGATGGATATATATTTGGTGCCTCCTTGTACCAATATCTATGTTAAAATAACTAATAAATAGTGTTTCTTAAATCCTCAAGGAAATGAAAGAATGCATTTCTAGGAATTCCAGTAACCACCTAAAGTTAATTGTGCTTGATTGGTGTTTGAGTACGACTAACCTTGTTTCTTCAGTATCAATATCACTCGAAGTTTGATCAAGTGTGGAGGTCTTCAGTTAATGGTAGGCATATTTTCGAATGACTCTAATATTTTAGATACAATTTACATGCATCCCTAAGCATTAATTTATGACTCAAAGCCCGACTAGGAAAATAGAGACTATTGATACTTTTTATATAACGATTAAGAAATAAATGGTTTTACTGGATTAGCACCTATCGATATATTTTACTCCTTTGATTTACTGTAAATATGCAAATATATTTCCCCCTAAAACTGATAGAGCACATTCACAAACAGTAATGAATGTTTCATTTGATGTTCTCCTGCTTGGCCAGTTATTTATCAATAGTGTTTGTTATTTACTCAAAATCCCGACCGAAGCTGCTACTTTGACGCGGTGGTCGGGCTTGCCTATCGTGATGGCCCAACCGAGCTATATTGGCTGGAACATATGTTCCTGTAGGTTCTACCATGCCAGGCAGGTCGATTGGAGAACGGTAAGACTAAAAGCAGCAACTCAAGGTCTGAGGGCGAAGTCGTACTGCTGACTGTAGAGGGGTGTGACAGCAGTAAGGTGTTTCCCTCGGACAACCAGCATCTGCAGCGATGCTGCCTTCCCACAAGGAGGAGTGGGGTTAGAAAAGGTCGACCCTAAAAATGTCACACCTCACCTTACCTCACGGATTTCCGTCTCCGGCGGTAAGGCCCTTTGAAGAATGGAGCTAACACAATAAAAACCTTCCACGAAAAGGCCGTGCGCGACCGGCCTCAAGCAGTTGTCCTTTGCGCTCTGCGGTCACGCTCCCAGGTCGTTAAGACCAACACCAATCCAATTTCCTTTTCAGGTTCCTCAAGAAATACCCTTCCACGGTGTGGGGAGCCGGGAAGTGATATCAGCCCTCATACCCGTAACAGCACACGAGACCAAGTTGGTCACATTCAAATCCTTCCTATACCTCCTAATACCTCTCTTATCTACATGACTAACACTCCCCACGTCTCTTTATCATCTCGCGCCGCTACGGCAAACGATTCGAGTACGCGGAACGCCATTCCTGGTCTCCTGAAACCACGCTCTAAACTACACGTAGGAGCTTTTAACATCCGAACACTGTGCCAAATAGGACAACAGGCTTCCTTAGCTAGGACTTTATAATCCCGCGCCATCGATGTGTGCTGCGTCTCCGAAACGCGCATACAGGATCCGAGTAGCGTCATTCATCTGACCTCACCATGCCAAAATAAAGAACCGACTCGATTCACACTTCGTGTATCTGGAAGCCCTGATTCTGCTTCCCGTGGCCTCGCCGGCGTAGGTATAGTATTGAGTTCTAGGGCAGAACTAGGTCTCTTAGAGTGGATCCCAGTAGACAGTCGTTTGTGCGCTGTCCGACTGAACGGAACAGTCGTCTCTGCCTATTCTTCCACTGACTGCAGCGCAGATGATGTAAAAGATGAATTTTACAGAAAGCTCTCCGACCTCCTCCTTAAAGCTAGGCGTTCGGATGTAGTAATAATGGCCGGTGACTTTAATGCTCAAGTAGGTAAACTAAGCTATAGGGAAAGACACCTGGGTGGATCTTATAGAATCGTGGCTCAAAGAACAGATAATGGCGACCGTCTGTTGCAGCTATGCTCAGATAACCGCCTGTTCCTTGCAAATACTAACTTTAAGCATAAAGAAAAACATCTTTTAACATGGTGACCGCCTAATTCGTCCCAACGTTGGACCCAAATAGATCACATCGCTATCAGCCACCGATGGAGGGGCTTGATAGAAGACTCGATCATTCTGGAGCACATGCTTAGATTGAGATCATGCTCTTAGGGCCCTACTTAATAATAGTCAAGCTAAGAGTATATTTCAGGAACAACTAGGAAAACAGTTAGGCAGCCATGTATGTGATGCCCACCCCGAGGCAGCATGGAATGATATCCGAAAAGCTGTGGAAACAGCAATGATATCTGCTAGTACGGATCTCAGCAGCATCCACCTGGCTCTGAACATAATGAGGAGCGGAGTCAGCTTAAGCGCAAGCTGACAAGAAGTCTACGCAATGATCGTAAACAGTGGTGGGTAGCGAAAGCAAGAGAGATGGAAAAGGCAGCGGCAATAGGTAATAGCAGACAATTGTTCAGACTTGTTAAGGAAACCGGTATTAGGAAACCGACTGTTAGCGAAACAATCTCAGAGAAAGATGGACATATTATACATTCTCAATCCAGGAGATTGGATCGATGGGCAGAACACTTTAGGGATCAGTTCAACTGGCCTTCAGCCACACTTCGGTTTCCCACGATCTCCAGTCAACCTGAATGGCAAGTTAATGTAGGTCCTCCGTCTCTTTACGAAGTTGAAAAAGCCATAGGAAATCTGAAGCGAGGGAGAGCAGCAGGCCCTGACAGGTTTACTCCTGAGATTTTTAAGGATGGTGGTCCAGTATTAGCAGTGAGATTAACTGAGGTCTTAGGTAGAATTTGGGAACTGGACGTAATCCCATCTGACTGGTCTCAATCACTGATTGTGCCAGTCTATAAGAAAGGACAAAAGTCCTCTTGTGACAATCACAGAGGAATCAGTTTGACTAATATAGTGTCTAAAATATTAGCTTCAATAATACTTCGACGCCTAACAAAGCTCGTGAAGAGCAGACTAGAGAAAATCAGGCTGGTTTTCGACCTGGACGTGGTTGTATAGATCAGATATTCACACTACGTCAGGTTCTAGAACACAGACACACATTCAGACGCCCCACAATGGTAGTATTTCTCGACCTTAAGGCGGCATTCGACTCTGTTGATCGTGAGGTTCTATGGCAGTGTTTGTCACTGAAAGGAGTACCAAAGAAGTACATTAACCTTATAAAGGCTCTCTACTCGAACACAACTGGTAGAGTGAGAGCTTATGGCGAACTGTCATCAGAATTGATTACCTCAAGTGGTGTTCGTCAGGGCTGTCCACTCTCCCATTCTTGTTCAACTTTGTCGTCGACGTACTTTTAGAGATAACACTTTCCAGGGGTTGAACTTCTACCGGGAGGTTCACTTGTTGACTTAGAATATGCTGATGACATAGTTTTATTTGGTGAAGACGCTGACAAAATGCAGAGTCTTCTGACCACTCTAAGCAACAATGCAAGCATGTTCGGGATGCGATTCTCTCCCTCGAAATGCAAAATGTTGCTTCAGGATTGGGTTGCATCGACACCCGAACTAATGATAGGGAGTGAAGTAGTTGAGTGTGTCGACCGCTTCACTTATCTTGGAAGTCTCATCAGCCCTTGTGGTCTGGTGTGTGACGAAATCTCAGCACGGATACAGAAGGCTCGACTAGCTTTTGCCAACTTGCGTCATTTATGGCGTAGGCGAGATATCCGTCTATCAACCAAAGGACGGTTTACTGCGCAGCAGTTCGTTCCGTCCTACTTTATGGCAGTGAAACATGGCCGGTAAGAGTAGAGGATATCGTAGGTTACTAGTATTTGATCATAGGTGTCTTCGAAATATTGCTCGTATATCATGGGACCATCGAGTAAGTAATGCAGTTGTTAGGAAACGGGTACTAGGTAAGGATGGCAAATCAATTGATGACTAGTGAAACTTCATCAGTTGAGATGGCTGGGACACGTGTTACGTATGCCCAACGACCGACTGCCTCGACGAGCGATGTTCAGTGGTATAGGAGTAGGTTGGAAGAAAGCTAGGGGCGGCCAGACCAAAACATGGCACAAGTCCATGAAGTCACTGACAAGTGACTGAGTCATGTTGGTAGGTGTAGACTACCTGGTTGGGGACCGCGAGATGATAGCAACCGATGGTTAGAGACCCTGAATGACATGGCTCAAAATCGTTTGCAATGGCGCAGGTGCATACACTCTTTGTGTTCTCCCAAATTTTGATCTCCTTATTCCTCCTTGTCTCTTTTTTCTTTCTTCCCAAATTTATTTCACTGTATTATACTCTTTAAGTAACATCTCCAAACACTAATCTTCCCGATTACTGCTTATACTCTTATTACCTCTACCACTACGGGATTTGAATCGACCACTGTATCTCTGTGCTAATGTGGTGTGGCAACTCGAACTGATGTACGTACGTACGAAGTTCTACGTTGTTACTGACTGACTGACTGATTTACTCAAAATTTCATTTTAATTTATATGGTGCCTATCTTGGTATCAGTGTTGTTGTTAATTTTTTCGTTCTGACTATGAAGAATTATTTTAAATCACGATGACCAATTAGTGTAAGTTATGACATCGTTTTTTGTCTGATAGACTTGGTTCATTTCCCTACAAAGTCGAAGTCAGACGAATAAAATTATTTATCTGTTAAGTAAAACAATTCACAGAAAGGATTATATAGACGTGAAATATGGTTTCACTGCTTTTTAGATTATGTGAACTTCATATTTCGAATTTTCTTACGTTTCGTTAAGTAGTTCACGTTTCATTTTGAAATAACACAACTTAATCAATAAAAGTATACTATTAAATTCGCTCAGTAAAATATCAGGCTTTTAAACATATAAGTTACCAATATTTTTTCTACTGGATAGGTATTTATTATGATGCATCTTCACGAATGCAACCATTGAAAGTTAACATTTCACCAAATACTTACTCAGTAAACATTGAATCTAATCCGCCCATCAAAAGACTTTATCGTAATGATGAAGCGTCTACTTGTGAAGCACGCTTTTTATCTAACAATGATGCTAAGCGACGTGTAACTCAGTCATCTGATTTTCATTGGTGTCTTACAGATAGTTGTTGCAATTCCGCTCTACTTGGTAAGTTCAGTATTTGCTTGTTTGCTCTTATTCTACGGTTGTTCCAGAAATTCATATCCCGAACATTCTAGTTTTCAGGATTGTGATGTTTTTGTTGAATTTCCAGCAAAGGTTTAGAATGTGTAATCGCATTCATTCGTTTTATACAATTTCTTTTGGGTAATGTGTAAGATATAACAGACAGTCATTTGTTTTCTATAAGCGCGCTGATAATTAGGAAAGTCATATTTTAGGCATTAACCCAGTAAGAAATCTCGTTTTCAATTTTGATTTTGTGAAGAAATTTTGGGGTGAAGTTTATAATATTTCGTTTCAGTCTAAACTGTCTGTAGTTTGACCTGGTTTTAAACTAAGGAAGATAAGTTACCAGAAATTTATCAATTATCTCTAGTATAATTCGTGTTTATTTTGTGGTTTTACTCCTATTCGGCGTTTCATTTACCCCAGGTTGAAGAATCTAATCGATGTACATTCTGACGAGAGACTAACTTGATTTATAATAATAAAGTCCCTTCTCTTAGTTTATAGCATGCATCTTTTTACAATTGGACTTGATAGTCTTTGTTATATTTCCTTTTATGTATCGTATCATATGCTCAAAAATAGCGCCCTACCGCCTAAAGTAAACTAAAGTTATTTTCCTTAATAATGCATTCGGGAATCTGACAAAACATCGAACAAATGGTTTCCAACTATTTCTTGTACAAATCTCTTAAATTTCTTTTACTTCTGTCATCGTATGGATAAATTGTCTATAAATCGTGTCAAGATTTTTCACAGAATAATAATCCCCTTTGTCTTCCAACTTCTGCGTTAAGTAAGTGGAGCGGGATTCTAACCTGTGACTTCCTGGCCGAAAGCCGAACACCTTAACCACTAATCTACCGCTCCACTGCTACATATCGTGCATGATTAAGATTTTGTACTTTGAAATGAATTTACTTAAGGTTGTCATCAGTATTCCCCTTTTCAGTATCAAAGTTCCCAGAGTTTTGTCCTGTAAAAATTGGAATGATTCAACACACATCAGCTGATACAAATGATAGTGCTCATTTGGACCAAACTGATCGTTCTGATTCAAATGAATTCTTATTTCAAAATTACCCTATATTACAAGAAAAATATGGGATAAATATACATATTCCTAGACAGAGCTTCTGTCTTATATATGTAAATGGGCGTCATATTCAAATGTTTACTTATAATTGGACAAAAGAAGAAGCTGAACGTATGTCAAACCGCTTACTATTATCTGTTGAATGGTATAATCAACGTTATCAGGTAATTTTCTCCCCTTTCATTTTATTCACTTATGCCATCCGTTTTCCATAGGGTGCAACAAATTAGTGTTGTTCCTGATTAAAAGTAAGCATCAACATAATATCTGTTTGGAACTTTATGTTTTACGTCACCTCTTTATTAATTTGTGGGAATTTACTTGTCACTGTAATTTATATTCCTTATTAATTTGGTCCAAATACTAAGTGGTGGTAATGACTTATAAAGTTCAGAATAATCAGCTACTGATCTCTTAACAGCATCGTTTACCAAAGTACTTCGCCGATAATTTCGATTCAGTGATCTCCAGACGTTGAGAATCATCGCTTCCGATTCTCACTATTTAAAAATAACTACTTGAACCATCTATCCCTGTGATCCATCTGAAAATCTTAGATTGACACACATATACTGTGATTATGATGGAGCCAAGTTAATGGTATCCTGATCGTCACTAAAGAGGAAATTTCATAGGTTATTTTTAACATAGCAAATAATTATGATAGACAGATAATCGAAATTCTATTGGTGATTACAAATATTTTTATGAGTAATCAACTATTGTTTGTCGTAAATACGATTAGAATCCCTATAAATGACTCTGTTCTATATCTGCCAAGTTCAGGTCTTGAAATTTGAAGATAAGCGAATAACAATCCGGATGAACTAATAAGTAAATGTTAGTCTTTGTATACCACATTTTACCATAAAGGTATCAGGTTGTTTTACTCGCTTATTTTAGTATAAATAAAAGTTTGTTCAGGATAGTTTGTTGTATTTGAGATAAGGTGTCAACTTCATCAGTTGTTATCCTCAGGATTTTTCTAGCATTACGCTATAAATGAATTTTCTTAAATTAAATAGACTTCAATTAGATTTTCGTTGTTATTTGCTTACTATTTCGTTACTGAGTTTATCATTCTACCTCATTCAATCTATTTACCTAGCTTTTATGTTCACTATCATTTCAAAAGTTGGGCTTATTTCATGCGATCAGTAATTCAGCTTTTCGCGGTTGTGCTGCTCGTGCTATGGATTTGATACGAAATACATGCCCTCCTGAGTTAAACATTGGTACGGATTCTCCGTGTACAGCAGTTAGTCAGACTTCAAGTAATTTATATAATACTTCGCCTTTATCGTCAGTTTCATCTACACCCAATGCTCAAATTTCTGTATCAAGTATTTCTATGAATATTCTATCAGCTGTGACTTCCATTGCTCGCAGGCGAAATGTAACACCATCTACAGTTGATATGAATACTAACTGTATTAACAGCAGTAATATTTTTCACACTCCTTCCTCACCCGCCTTTCAAACTCATTCGTCATCTCTTCATGGAACAAACAATTCACGGATGGAATTTAAGGAACATAAGAGTATCAACAACTTCTTACGACTGTTTCAAGTAAGTTTACCCCCTTTTTACTAGTTCACATTACATTCTGGATCGTCGGCATGCATCGATTTTATTCTGTCTTCGAATGATTAAATAATTAGTATGAGTCTTTATTCCTCCAAGTCTCTATGAAACACTAGTCATTGGTGTACTACTAATTACTTACAAATATCGTAAAACCCCACACAACTTTGCTGTGGCTGTTTTGTTTTCTGATCTATGCAATATATTCAGCTTTGAGAAATAAAGAACGATTTCGATTAACATCTACGTTAACTGTGTCTCAATAATAAGAATACGGATAGCTTTTCACTCATATTCGGCGCGTATATCGTAGAAATTAATCACTCTTATACTTATTTCTATGTGATGTTTATCAGAATTTGATGCTTGTGCAACACTATGTTTCTCTCCTGATCGAAACTTAACGATCACCATCAAAAGTGATATTTTTGCAGAGAAATTGTTTTTGATGCTTATTTTCTTTCTATATAGTGAAAATTCCATTTCGACATTTGGTAAATAAAGAAGGAAGAAGTTTAGGGTCGTGATGAAAAACTAATAGAAAGGAAGTTTCTTTGCACGAATAATTCATTCCTGTTTAACGTTTTCTTGTGCGTTGGAATATAGCTCGATGCGGTACATCAGGAAAATTTTCAGATGTGTGTCAATCTCGAAATATCCTCAAATTCTGAAATGCATACGATTGTTAACATAGGTGTTTGTCTAAATCCAGTTTTACCATGAGTCTGTCGGAATATCAATCAACACTTGATTGAGAGAGCTGGCAATATTAAAGTAACATCTAAAGTGAGTAACTCATAAAGTGTCTGAATTTATGATAAGGATGTATTTGAAGCAATCGGCTGACACTAAGATTTTCATCAGAATATGAATTGCTAATTCTCTTTTGGAGTCACTCTATATTGTCACTGGGGAATTCGTATCTCATCTACCCTAACCACTCACATTAGAAGAAATGTGCATCCATATGGAATAGTTTCCTACATGTCTAATCTCAGCTATATGTTTTGTCAGTCATCATCAAAAGGCAGATATATTTTTTACGAACAGATGATAATGGAAGCAGTTTCAAAATCAATAGTGTTACTTAAAGTAACTAGTTGACAATAAATAAGATGATTCTAACAAATATTATTTATTATGGCAATGTCATCAGTTCCCGATATATGAATAATAATACAGGTGAGAGCTCAGTGCCCAATACCTAGAATCTTTTTTCAGTCTTTAGGATTTCGTAACATTCCTTGACTTTCAGATGTCATTTGGTAGAATATTCATGCAACTGTCCAAACTTCTTCACTGAGTTTTCCGTTTCAAACATTCGCTATGAGGTTGACAGAAGTGTACTTTTTGCTAAAACCATCTTCCAAACTTGAGTCAACCTCTACTTTTTGTTGATTTTATCAAGTGTACGGTTAAAAGCGATTACTAATTATCGGTGATCTCAGCGATCTTGATCATCTCAAAGTTTGTTCTGACCGTGATTCTCTAAAAATTTCCGTTATTTACGTCTGAAATCTTTTGTAATATATATTACCGCTTGTTATTGTGAATATGTCCATCTTTGTTTTATTTTATGCAATATTAGTTTTGTACCTGTTCTGTTATGATATTCTAGCTAATAATTTTGATTAAACCAATATAATTCTGCATGTTTGTCACTTTTGCTTTTGTCAAGTTTCTAGGTCCCATTTCATGAAGTCTTTATCGTAGACAATGACAATGCTGTATTCCTCTACTAGTCTAATTAACTATAATCTACCGCCTACCCAAAATGCACAAAATGTTTTCTAAACCTGTTTTAGCTATATGACTTGTTTCCGTGGCAGTGTTTACTTTATACAGGACGATCATCATCCTCATCATTCTTACATCCCTTCTGAAGTCACTGTTTTTTTTTATTTAAAAAATTAATTTCAGGACTGTGGTTATATACCGCCTTTGATACCACCTAGTAATCCAAACTTACCGTACATTGATATGTTACAACGGCACAGTGAGCAAGCCTTAACGCTAATGCATGCTGATATTCGGCGGTCTCAGTATATCGAATTGTTCAGTGAATATTTTAGAAATTGGCAAGAAGGTGGTAAAAACAATACAGCAAATAAAGAGTCAAATCCAGTAAAAGCTATACCAGTGAACAAGGATACTGGACAGAAGTTTTCTCATTCTAAGTCTGCAGTGGGATCTGTGAGTGAGACGAACTTTTTTCATATTATCAAACTAATGTTTCATATTGTTATTATTACTATTGATACCAGTAACTAACTCATTTTCAACATAATAAACACTGTTCAGCAATTATGTGAATTAATCGTAATGTGTATGATGTATTCATACTTCATACACCAAAGAATATTAGGAAGAGTTTTTAATACCTTGAAAATTCACTGGTTTTCTACGCTGAGGTTGCTAATTTTTCGCTTCAGATAAATTGGAGGAAATTGAAGATTTCATTACTGTTGTATATGATCTCACACACTCAACGTCACAACAAGCGGCTGATGTCTGAAATATTTGATGTTTAAATTATTTCCCGGTCATATACCTATATAATACTCCCTAGATTGCTATACATTTTGATCATTTTACTAAGAAAAGTGTTGACTTGACACTTCACTCCCAACCACTAGGTTGGAAATTCAGACCTAGCTCCATTTGTGTCGGTTTGGCCAACCCAGTGTGTATGTGGCTCATAACCGATTACACAAATTTGTTCATGGTAGGTTTGTTGAAATAATCATTTCAATTAAATGGGTGAGGACTAAGTTTGCGCAAATATTCTGTAAGTTACAATGACTTGTTATTTCTGATAGTCTCCTTCCTTTCCGTTTATGTTACTATAACTGTATATTGTATGTCTACATTTGACTCACTCAATAACTTTAGAAATGTATTGTAATGCTATGTTATGATGTTTTCTAGATACACCTGACATCATAATTCCGTTCATATATATCACGTTCTCTAGAATTTATTGATTAGAAATGCATGTTCACTAAAACACAGATTTGTTTGTTTTTCTATTACTTCCATAATCTTCCATTGGTCAGTACTTTCGAAAACTACTGTTTGCTATCAGTCGCAAATTAAATACTGCCAGATTGGTTTTTTAACTTAAAGGATTTATCTTGTGACCATCTCAAGGTGATCAGTCATTATCCCAGCAAAGATCCGTGAATTTCAATAAGTAGCATATAATTTACTATAAGATCACTATATCGCTTTTTTCAATAAATGAGTTATTTTTAGTTACCCGATCAACCATAATAATAATCTTTTTGTGATCAGTAGTGAATATTGTCGGTAAAACGCGTCTGTGTATGAACCTCTGTAGTAAAGTCTATTTTTCCATTTTCTCAACGGACGAACATAACCTTTGTGTTCTTGAAGTGGTTTTAGGTATCTTAAAATGTAGGATTTGTTATACCTAATCTTGTCTGATCAGTCATTTGAGTGGGTTCCTATTGTGTATGTTGATGATACTATGATAAGGCATTTTATACAACCATGATTAACTGGAGATGGATATCACAATGATTATTTGCTTTATGGCCATTCCTACCTATAGTTAATTACTATTTTGTATTACAGTATTGCCTGTTGGAGTTTATATTTTGCCAGTCTTCTAGACACATTTTATTCTCTCCCCATGCAATTTTCGTCTAATATGATTAGGCTAAGGAACTTCTGCCCAGTGATCAATTGTTCAAACGGCTACAACGTTATTCGGCTATTAAACAAGCTTGTCGTCACTTGCACACCATATGTACTCCCATATTATTTTGTCCTAATACACGTTCAAAAGTTGTGCAGCTAATCAAAGAAGAAGAAAATGCTATGAATAAAACAGCTCAGTTATACTTCAGTTCTATTTCACGTCATTCTTCTGCAGCTACACCTACGGACATCACCGTTACTTCTGCCAATAATACTGATTCTACCATTTCTGATTTAATAGTACATAAGGAAATAGGTGATTCGGATAAAATGCATTATCATACCGAACAAGCTACAAACCAGTGTAAATCCAGTGAAAATGAATCGGGCTCTTCAAAGGAGTAAGTTATAGAATTTTTCTGTTTCTCTTTAGTTTTGAAAGTGCACAATTCAGCCAAATTAAGAACATCTTCAATCGATAACTGAATTCTTCCATGAAGTGAGATTATCCTACAGTAAGGAATTAACAACTTTAGACCTTTTTTATTTAAAACAGTAAATCTTCTATAAGGGGCTATCAATGAAATTACTTTGAGATATGGGAATGAAAATATTAAGTCTTGAGTGTCATCTTGTCGATTGGACTGTATAGACTACACAAAATAAAAGATAAAATTTACGTAGGTGAAGTGATTCCTAAGCATTTGCTCTTAGATGAAAATTACAATGGCATATCCTTAATTGTCTAGTTGCTAGCTATTGAAATGAATTGATTAGCTGATTTTGAAGTGGATTTGCATGTATTTCAGATCCTAACACACCAAAAGTTTGAAGTCTGAGAATTTTTAGAGCTTTTTACTTTGTAATAATCCTAGATACATTTCAATTGTTGTCGTAAATAAATTGGCCTTTAATCAAATGTTGATTTCTCAAAACTTTCCAGTTTTTCTGTAAAGTCAACTCCTGTTAGACTAAAACAAGTATCGGACGCCGGTGGGAGTCGTTTTTTATCCCCGTGGCTAAGTTGGTCACACAATTCAGCTACTCCGGGTAATCTTGATGACACAAATATACTTTCAACGGATATCTTACTTGCTGATAACAATTCATGTGCTGACAATTCGCATCATCACGATAGTTGTTTTACTTCCGTCTTAAACTTCAATAATTGGTTACGTCGTGTAGCTCACCAATTTCTAATGAAATATTCTCAATATTTGCAACAAGAAGTAGGCTTTCATTCAATACCAATTTTCAATAGTTCCGTTTCATTAAATAGACGTGAACAGGCAGCAAAACCTTATATTAACTATGCATTGTTTCGTCGTTCTATACACTTGGCTGGAGTACATATAATTGAGGTTAGTTGCTTTATGTTTAATATATTAACTGTGAGACTAACCCTCAATATTCTCCCACCTTTCTTAACTTTACTATGAACTTGTGTTTAGATAACTCGAAAACGTGTTTTTTAATCCTATAACGATGGGTTCGAAAATTGCTATACCTACTCCTATCGTAATCATCAAACAATTTCGTTTTTTTCTTGAAAACTACACGTGCTTCCTGCCAGCGAGTAATGTGTAATGAGAAAATGAAATTGATGTGAAGAAAACGTACTATGTTGTGACGTCATGATGCCCGCTACATTTTAAACAATGAGGTCACCAACGTTTTTGTTTTATCAGTCAGTTAGCAGCAACGTAGAACTTCGTACGTATGTACATCAGTTCGAGTTGTCATACCACATTAGCACATAGATACAATTGTCGATTCAAATATCATAGTGGTAGAAGTAGTAAGAGTATAAGCAGTAATCGGAAACACTAGGTTTTGAAGATGTTATTCAAGAAGTATAATCCAGTGAAATAAATTTGGAAAGAGAAAAAATAAGGGACATGAGAATTCAGAGGATTGAAATTTGGGAGAACACAAAGAGTGGATGCACTCGTGTCGTTGCAAACGACTTTAAGCCATGTCATTCAAGGGCTCTAACCATCGGCTGCTGTCATCTCACGGATTCCAACCAGGTAGTCTACACCTACCAACATGGCTCAGTCCACTTGTCAATGACTTCATGTATTTGTGCCGTGTTGTGGTCTGGTCGCACCTAGCCTTCTTCCAACCTACTCCTACACCATAAAACATCACTTGTCGAGGCAGTCGGTGGTTGGACATATGTAACACATGTCTCAGCCATATCTACTGATGAAGTTTCACCACTTCATCAGTCGATTTGCCATCATTACCTAGTACCCGTGTCCTATCAACTGCATTACTTACTCGGTGGTCTCAGGATATACGAGCAATGCTTCGAAGACACCTATAATCAAATACTAGTAACCTACGAATATCCTCTACTCTTACCGGCCATGTTCCACAGTCATAAAACATTAAACACGTCCTTTGGTTGGTAGATGGATATCTCGCCTACGCCATAAATGACGCAAGTTGGCAAGAGCTAGTCGAGCCTTCTGTATCCGTGCTGAGATTTCGTCACACACCAGACCACAAGGGCTGATGAGACTTCCAAGATAAGTGAAGCGGTCGACACACTCAATTACTTCACTCACTATCATTGGTTCAGCTGTCGAGGCAACCCAATCTTGAATCAACATTTTACATTTCGAGGGGGAGAATTGCATCCCAAACATGCATGCATTGTTGCTTATGGTGGTCAGAAGACTCTATATTTTGTCAGAGTCCTCACCAAACAGAACTATATCATCGGCATATTCCAAGTCAACAGGTGAATCTCCCGGTAAAAGTTCAACTCCTGTAAATGTAGATGAGGAAAGTGTTAACTCTAAAAGTACGTCGACGACAAAGTTAAACAAGAATGGAGAGAGTGGACAGCCCTGACGAACACCACTTGAGGTAATCAATTCTGATGACAGTTTGCCATGAGCTGTCACTCGACCAGTTGTGTTCGAGTAGAGAGCCTTTATAAGGTTAATGTACTTCTTTGGTACTCCCTTCAGTGATAAACACTGCCATAGAACCTCATGATCAACAGAGTCGAATGCCGCCTTAAGTCGAGAAATACTACCATTGTGGGGCGCCGCATCCCGCGGGATCGTGGATGCGCACTGCTGAGGAGTCCCATACTAGGACGAAACGGCCGTCCAGTGCTTCCAGGTTTCCAACGGTGGTCTAACATCAATTGATTCATGATTTCAACCAAAAACGTAACAATCTCCACAACCCCCATACTGATAACATTATATTTATCATCTTGATATAATTCGGTTTCAGTGCCTTTTTGTCTTAAAAAATTATCAAACTACTTCTAAGTAGTGCAGCTCTACACTAAAATAACCCATCAAAATTGTTCTTTGAACCATTGGACCTAATATTTACCGACCTTTTCATAGACTTCACTGTACTTGACTTAAAATTTCTGACGTCATTCTTACCGAAATAGTTAAAACCAAATAGATTGATGGTAACATGCATAGTTATCATCACATTTTACCTATTATTACCCTTACGCACATAATGTAGAATTTGTTGTATAAGCCTGCTAATCCTTCTTTGGTTTACATTACTGCTGAACGACATTCTGAACTAATCACTGGACTTAATTCAAAATTTCTGAATTCAGTTTCGACAAAGCAAGTTTTTGTTTGCTTTTACCATATTCCTTTTTTTGTTATGGTATTTGCGATGCAAGACCAACCACTGCCGACTCTGCCACACCATACTGGCCAGCACAGAAGCTATCTGGAAGAACATCAGGCTTAGCCAAAACAAGGCATAACATCACTCCATCAATCCTTTAACTTTTGGTTTGACCCATGTGTCGAGATATAGGGATCCCTGTTAGACCTCACGTGATAATCGTAATCTTTGGCTAGAGATTTTAATGACATGTCTCAAAGTTGGCTTCAATGAAATTGCTGTACTCATTATCTACATTTCATTCGGCCCTTTTTATACTTACATCTCGCTAGTTCTGTTTCAAATATATTTCTCATGTTTATTTTTCTATTTCATTTAATAATATTTCTTTCCTTTGCTTTTCATCTCATCCTGTTGATTCCCTCTCTTACAGCTTGGATGTTGAGGTGTAGAAACTTGGATACATTCGTTTTATGTTCTAAGTTCTGTGTGTTACTTACAAACTAACTTCATTACTTCCTTCGGACAGCTGAGGGAATCGTCAATCTAGTCCACTTAGGTCATTAAAAAAATAAAAGAAATTCAACCACCTTGCTCTATTACTAGATTTTCATATATATAATTAGAATTCGTTGGATTTTCTCACTGGTAACCTCGTATATATAATACAGTAAAGTTAACCTCCGTTTTCAACTATCTTTATTACTGTCAGGAGTATGATATTCAGAAAATATTTGGATATTTGTAATAAAGTGAAAAAACGTAAATTCGGTACATCTAAATGTCGTCAAATTAAATGAGTTTTTCTGAATGTTTAAACCATTCGGTTGTTTATTTTATTTTCGTAAATGTAATTAGATTCTTTAGAATTCCATTGTGAGGAATTCGGCTTCACAATTTCAAACACATTTCATTTATCTTCGTTAAATTTCGATAATTGTTCGTGAAAGCCACTAAAAACCGAAAATCGTCTCCCATATACTTTGAATCAGCCAAGATACTTGATGATTTCTAGTAAATTCTAGAAGTTTGGACGTTTATGCTTTTCTTAACCTAATTGAATTGACAGTTAATCTATTACTTATTTTAGCGTTTTTTTCATAAGGTTCTTCAAGTTTTAGGTCTCTCGTAACAGCTACATTGATGATCCTTAATTTCTGTAACGAAACTAACTCTAGAAGTAAGCTTCAGTTATATTCCCGCCTTGCAAACTGTTCCGGTTTCAAATGTTGCGAATCAATCGAATTTCAGAAACCGAGTAAAGCGTCATCATTTCAAGCTTTCTGTGTACGTAATGATAACAACTTAAGGTAATCAAGGCGCATTGTTATTCTTGATGCCGATTCATTACAGCACCACACAAGTCGGATTTGTAGAAATCTGGATTGTTTACGCCTTATTACGCAAATGTAAACAATATGGCGTTAATGAATATTTGTTTGGTGAATGATAATAGTGGTTACAATTAGTCTATAAGTTTCAAATTCAACATGTCTTTAAAAGCTGAATACACGACTGATTAAAATGTCACCATCGTTTCGGTCCGTTCTATGAACTATCCACTGCCTGTATTTCGTTATAAATTGCATGTTAGTACTTTTTAATACGTAATTGAGTGTCATGCTGTTCGTATAATTTAATTAATCGTTAATTGTTTCTTATTTACTTCAGCTTTTTGTCCGCGATTTTCATCTGTTCGTTAGATTGGGTACTATCGAAGTTAGTCGTTTTAGCTGGCATGCTTCACGTTCTGTAACACTTGGGCCGTATACATCCGAAGTGATTTCTCAAACGGCAGCATCAGCTGCAGCCAGTATGACATCAGTTATGTTCAATGCAGTTTTTCGTCGAAATATGGAGAGGTCATTTCGTTCGCCTAGTGCTAATTCTTCTTTTAATATCATAACTAGTCCATCAGATGGGAAGTATTCTGATTGGTTTGAGTATAGTAGTAATCTTTCGTGGAACGAATCAAGTAAACTATGTGACTACACACATCTCCATTCATTTTCGTACGACTTTCATTTGCGTGCAATTCAAGATTATTTAGAAAGTGAGTATTTAGTTGTCTACTCTAAATAATCCAGTTATTATGCGATATTATTTCATTTAGTCGATTGCGATTCATGATTAACCAATTAAATAAACCGAGTTTGCAGATAGATTCTTGTTCGGGTGCCTTCTTAACACTTGCCTGACATGTCCATTTCTAAGTAAATCCATTTCGGTGTCCGAAATCAATGTTATCGTATGTTTGTAGAAATCAGACCAAGCTTGAAATGTTTGGACAACGGTGTTCTTATCAGTTCCTCGAGGTGGATACATAGAAAAAAGATTTAACCAGATAATGATATTTTTTAACCACTGTTAACTTCCACATAATTTGTGCGTTTTATTGTCAACGTACCATATTTTCTTCTCTAAGTTATATTTATTCTCTTTTATAAAGTTTTGCTATTCATAATCACAGAATCACTGAAGCCATACTTAATAACTTGCTCGTGTTATCGCTAGTGGAAGAGCATAGATCACCCATCAGCATTCTCCATCAACCTCTGTCCTCGACAATCCTTTCCAGTTGTTATTCATCCTTTTCATGTCTGCTTCCGATTCCCGACGTAGTGTGTTCTTCAGCCTTCCTCTTTTCCGTCTCCCTTCAGGATTCCAAGTTAGCACTCACCTCGTGATGCAGTTTGGTGATTTCCGTAATCTGTGTCCTGTCCACCTCTAACGTCTTTTCCTAATTTCCTCTTCAGTTGGAAGCTGGTTGTTTCAGTATCTTGCGTAGACGATTGTTTACAAATACTTGTGCTTTTTTGGTGACGGTTGTAGTAGTCCTCCAAGTTTCAGCTCCGTACAGTAGAACTGTCTCGACGTTCGTATTGAAGACTGTGACTTTGATGTTGGTTGACAGTTGTTTTGTGTTCCAAATGTTCCTTAATTGTAGGAATGCTGATCTCGCTTTGATAATCGTTGCCTTTACGTCTGTAACAGATCCCCCTTGTTCATCGATGATACTGCCCAGGTAAGTGAAAGTTTCCACCTCTTCCAGAGTTCCTCCATCAATTGTGATTGGTTTTGTGTTCTCTGTGTTGTATTTGAGGATGTTGCTTTTTCCTTTGTGCATGTTGAGGCCTACTGATGTAGAGGCTGCTGCTACACTAGTTGTCTTCATCTGCACTTGTTGGTGTGTATGGGACAGGAGTGATAGGTCACCTGTGAAGTCCAAATCGTCTAGTCACATCCAAGCTGTCCATTGTATTCTGTGCTCTCCCTCAGATGTCTAGGATAACATTCACCGTGATTCCCTTCTTTGTTTTGAAGGATGGTTTAATGATCCTGGATCCGTGAGATTCACATCTTATAAGTGCATTATGTGCTTCTTTGGACAGCATCAGAGCAACTCCTCGAGTGTGTGGAGCATTTTCCTCTTCGTGACCGGAGTACAGCAACATCTCTCCCATATCTAGGCTTTGCTGTCCATCTTGGGTACAACGGGTTTCGCTGATTCCTAGAACCACCAATTTATATCTGTTCATCTCCACAGCTACTTGTTTGGTTCTCCTGGTCTCCCACATTGCCCGAACATTCCATGTACCTTTATTAATTCCTGCTGAGGTTGTCAGAAGGGGCATCGGTCTCGTGACTTCGGAAGAATCTCGGCTTTGACCATGAGGCTTCGTAATTCTTCTAAATATAGATCCTTCAACTCGGAGGGCAGAGTTTAAGTGATTTAATTAGTTTAATCTGGGGGACGTTTCTTTAGAAAGGTTTTTATTTACTGGATGGGATTGCCGACCCTATGCCCAACCCTCCTCCTTTACCCAGGCTTGAGACCGGCAGTAACTGGAATACAAAGTTTTAGCAGCACTTTAGTAAAGCCTTAAAAGCATTTTCATTTCATCTACAAAAAGTACACTGGTAATTCATGTATCCATTTCTGTTAAAATTTGTTGTTTTTTTAACTGTACGGATGGAAACTTTTCAACTGGTTTTTTTTTCAGCGGTTGAACTCCATAAAATCAACATCCATTCATCTTGTTACTTTAGCAACTACATGTTTATCATACTGATACTAGCAGTTCAAGTTTAGTTTTCATGCAATACAGGCCTTGGGTAAACCAACAACTTGTGAAATTTCTAAAAATCTCCACAAAACCCATTCTGATAATAAACCAACAATGTTAAAATTTCTTTACTGATCAATTTTGTGCAACCTATTTTGCAAGATTATACACTTATGTATTCATTATGGAATATTCGTTGTCATTTGTCAAAAAAATAGAAGTTATTACAAGTGAACCAGTTTCGGTTTCTCTTGCCATCGAAAATATCTGTTCTAGTTGTGACTTTTTCTGATTCATTCAAAACGCACTTGAACATTATCTTCATTATTTCTCTTTCAGATTGTTTTATTAATCCTCTCTGTATTTTTTCTCATGCAACATATCGTACTTTGAGGCTGTTCACACTGAATCCGGATACTGAATAGTGTAATCACTTAAGTGTCTTTCAAAAACGTTTAGTGTTTTTTAGTGTTAAGTGATGGTAATGACTGAATTTCATGTCTCGGAATTCTTCTTTATCGTTTAGTTCTCTGTTGTTGGTTACTCTTTTTAACTTAGATCGACGATGCTTTCAACGAAGTCAGTGTTCTGATGCATCACGTAGACAAACTAGTGCAGTTGGAAGCGTATATTCTAATGTGATTACTATTCCCGACTACCCTGTCACAAAATTTCTAGAAGATTTAACCTGTATTGCTAAAAAATTACCACTCTTTTCTCGGGGTTACTTATGTTGCTTTCCTGTTACATGCCACGTTAGTTTATGTCTGCGACCAGACCAAGTTTTTCATCATCTTATCGAAGAACATGCTTCCTACGGTGTAGATGTGAGTTTAAATAAAGATTTTATTCGAGTTTGATTCTCAAATCACTTTTATATTTACTTCCTTCTAAAGTCATATTCCCTGTCTAATCACTTCTACTACTACAATACTTTGATACGTCCGCCACAAAGTACTAATTTGTTGTGGCGAATTACGGAGATATTCATTTCTGCTAGGTTTTTACGTTATTTATGACTGACTTACTTGCCTATACTCATGACCACAGGTGGCTTTACAATTAAAGAACTATGCTTAGTCGATTGACTGGTCTAGCAGAATCGCCTTAGGTTAAGGTTGGTATTACTATCTGTCAACAGCAGCGCTGTAAACACATCGTTGACACAGCCTAACTATTAAATTCTGTTGTCTTTCACTAAGTGGTTAGATTGTCACTCAGCCATGTTGACCTTCATCGAAATTTAGTGTGGATAAAAGAACCTTATGGAACCGTTTTCTACACGATGGTGTGACTGCAATGGTTGTCACTATCAAACGAAATTCATATGACGGACCACACTGCATGGAGGACAACTGACAGATGCATTCCAAGTGAGAACCGGAGTCAGACAAGGCTGCTTACCCTCGTCTTTGCTCTTCCTTCTGGTGGTCAACTGGATTATGAAGACCTCGACATCTGAGGGAAAGCACGGAATACACTGGACAGCTTGAATGCGACTAGACGATTTGGACTTCACAGGTGACCTATCACTCCTGTCCCATACACACCAACAAGTGCAGATAAAGACAACTGTTAGAATAACTTGGGGAACTGATTCAATCATACTGTTCATTTGTATTATCAAGTATGTTTATAATACCTCAGTATCTGTTTTCTTAATTTTCAGCTGCTTAATATCTTTCGGCCCTAGTTTATAGACCTAATGACTAAGAGTTATCATACAGGTCTGTAACTGTTTTTACTCTTTGTATAAAACTACATGACTCATATCACATTGTGTAACCTTTCGGAAGTACATGAAATGCACACTTCAGTTTCATATTACTTAATAAAAGTAAATCATACGAATTATAAGAAAATATCCTTCACGTTTTCTGACAACATAAACAAACCATTTGTGTGAATTACTTTTATCTTATACACTTGCTTTCTCTGTTAAAATAGATTCTACGCATGACTAGACGGGAATATAGTGCTTCCCAAACGAATCCACCATATAACAAACATTTATCATATAATTTTGCTTTAGTTGAGCAATGTCATCCTGAACAGGAATCTGGATGTTGTAGTTCACGTTCAACCAGTTCAGATCATCATTCAAAATATCAACCATGTTCAAATTTAAGAATGTCTTCTGAATCGAATTCTTCCTCTACCACTAACAGTAAAGATCAGTCTTGTAAATTTTCCGCTTTGGGAATAGCTAGTGCACATCACATTGTTGAGAATTTAACAAAGCTTGATAGTGAACTTTCTAATAGACAGTCAATATCCCAACCTTATTCAGTAACAGGAATTGTTGTTCCTGATGAAGTTAACGGAACCTATTCGGATATTAGATCACCAGTAGATGGATCTATTACAAATAGACTACTTCATTTGGTTGTATATCTAATTATTCTAGATTCAAAACACGAATTTCCAGAATCTAGACTTGCAAAATTAAATTCAAGTTCATGTACACAAGTAAGTTTTTTTAATAATTTAATGTCTGTAGTAAAATTTGCGTTGTCAAATAAAATTTATTTGCTAGGTTACTATTATTAGCAACATCTTTTTCTGACGGGTCAAATACATGTTGGTAACACTGCCCAAGAGGATACCTTATCATTATGAGTTAGTATCTCCGAATTCTATTTAAGTTGTCTAGTCTCGTGAATTGAAAGTAATCTAAAACCATTACAATATTACTTTCAGAAATTATTAGTTTGATCTAAGAATTCGAAACATGTCTGTGTACGTTTGTGTATTGATTTTCAACTTGAGGTGAACATTTGGTCTTATTTTTCCACCTTCTTTCAGTTGTTTTTTTTTATATTGACCTCTGGTGCTTCAATAGTATATGTCTAAAGTGAGAGATAATCAATACCATTAACAACAAGGTAAATATTGTAGAACATGATATGAACGTATATTGGTTTAGGCTATCATACTTCACCCCATCACAAGGGGAGGTAACAAACTGTAGTCAGAACAAACACTTATCATTAGTCACCAATGCTTCGTAGATGTAAATTTGCATTAAACGTAATCACATTCTGTTACAATTTCTATATTAGTTAACCAGATTAATTTTAGTTGTGTTGGCACTACCGTTAAGAGTAATAAACACGTTGTTGGTCACTGATTAAAAAAATATAATTATTCTACTCAGAGGCACCGTTTTGGTTTGAGAATAATTCATCTCAATTTATTAAAAAACCTGTTGTTATCACGATGACCAGTTCTGTCCTGGGGGAGTTTGCTTTGTGTTCGTGAATATTTTCCAGGATCAGGTTGAAAGATGGGGGGAAAACTACTTCAAGACCTTTAAGGATGTATGGTGAACTGCGAGTGTCGATATTTATTTACAATTTGAAGTGAACGCAGTATATGTCTTGTCAGGATTTTCGAAGTTAATAATGTTAAGTTTGTCGGCAATAATGTGGTGTATTCCATCGATTATATTGATGTGTGAATGAACATAAATGGGTTTTTCACTGATTTGTTGATGTTCATCACATAGATTAATATCAATCTAGAGAGTTTAACGTATAAGAGGTTGCTTCGAAATATCCATAATATCTGGCGCAATCAGATAGAATGATTCTTATGTATTCAGTGGTTTCACTATTTTATCGAGGATTTATCTGAACTAATTACGCTGTAGAAAAAAGAATTTTTATTTTTTATTCAGCGTATTAGAGCTAAATTTATGGTAGTGCTGATGAAGTTCTCAATAGTTATTATGTCACATGTCTATCTTAAATATCATTATAATCCTACATATAAATTACGATGAGTTATTAGCGCGAGTAAAAATTTGTGATCATACACTAGATCTTCTCGTGAATTGATACGTGGTAACCCGATAATGGTTGAAATAGGTCAAATACGATTAAAATAATGCGATGAACCTTTTCAAAATATCACATTGTATGGTTACTATTTTAGAAAAAAAAATGATTGTCGACTTAACTTTCAATCTTGTAAAAAAATAATAATGATGACTAAGTCTTTATTCCTAAAGACAATGGTTAATTTACGCTTGTGTGAAATACGTAGAATTTCATTTTATTTAATTACAATGTACTTCATTTTAATTATCTTACTATCATCTTTTTGTATACAGTATTCATAACAAAATCATGCTATCATCTCATAACATTTTAGTTTTAAGCTCAAATACTTTTCATCTAGTTAGTTGAGCCTTATTCTTATCTCACAAATCACCTTAATTAATTTGGAACCCGTGTGGGGCTGGGTAGATGAAATACATACAATTTTTGTTTGTTTTTTGTTCAAACTTACCAGTACATGATTTGAGCATTTTGTTTGTTTCACAGGTATACAATTCATCGTATACTGTAGTTATTCCTTAGTGTTATGTTCCATATAAACCAGTTTTATAAATTTTATTCAACATTTACGTAGCTACCCAAAATGCATCGGATGATTTTCGTCAAAATGTGTTTCTGCGTTGTAGTTTGGGTTACTGCAACATAAAATATTTGTTAGTTCGTTTAATAAATGAAAGAAAAGTGTTTGTTTGTTCACAATAACCGTACATACCATAATGTTTCCCGCTTCTGTGCATTTCACCACTTTCTACTGAATTATATTCTTTTTTTGAATGAGGTTATCAGGCAATATAAGATAATTAGTTGGTTGAGTGCAGAAATCAGTAGAAAAGATCTTATTTAGAAAGGAAATTCATATTTTTATTTTTGAAACAAAACCAGTTAACGTAATAACACTTGATGATCGTTTCCACTGTCATCTAATCATCTCCATACATCAAAGTTCCAACGTGTTTTAATCAGATGTAATTTAATCTGAAAATTTTATGAGTTAGTTTCTGTATGCAATGAACAACTATCTAAGCAATTTTTTAACTTGTAGCTCTTTTAATTCTAGATCAAGATTCCGTAACTATCTCGACCTTTTTTTTCAATTAACACGTTCTGTCTGTTTTAGTTGAAATGCTGTTTTGCAAATCTAAATATTACTCTCCTATGTTATTTATCTTGAATGAATCTTGCAATGGTGTGTTTTAATGTATTATTTTGATATTCCAGACCTGTTTATCACAATGTTACAAGATTTATTTACAATTTTACTAAAATTAGTAATGACATCAATGACAGTAAATCAGAGAAAAATAATGTACATAACTCACTTTCTAAATAAGCTAACTTGACAGTAGGTTGAAAGTAATATGTGAGAAATTTCTGTTTATATGCACACATTATTTTATTATTTCAATGTTGAGATGAATAATGGGTTCACCATTGGGTCATATACTGGCTGCCATTTTTCTAGCCGAACGAGAAAATGGTCCACTCAAATAGATTATCCAAATATTCACATTTTACTGTCGACATTTGGATGAATACGTTCATCCTCTGCAAAGATAATACATTACAACGAGAGGTTCTTAGGCAGTTTAATGAAATAATCTGGCCATTTAGTTTACGTCCGAATAAGAGAGTGATAGCAGTATAGTCTTTTTGGACGTTCTCTTAAATAAGAGAGCTGATGGATCATTAAGAAGAAATTTGAACAGAAAAAATACCTAGACAGGGTTGTACACACTTTTCTTTAGCTTTGTACCTCTACAGTACAAAATAAATTTGTTCAAAACTCTTGGTTACCGAATACTTACTGCATGTTCTACGGATATAGTTGAAGCAGAGCTAACCACCTTGCGTGATACTTTTAGGGAGAACGGACACCCTAGAAAGATTATAAATAAATATATGATCACGAAGGTGGAAATACGCAAAACACAAACGGTGAATAAGAAATCCATGTTCATGAGCCTACAATTTAGAGGGAATGTAGCTAGCGAAATATTAACTCAAAGATTACGCAGAACAATCCAAAAATCTTTCAACGCCGGAGAACTATGACACCGAGGCTAAAAGATGATTTACCTAGAATGACCACCTCATTTTGTATTTATCAGTCCAACTGCTCCTGTGGAGTAAGTTGTATTGGCCGAAGTTCTAGAAATCTATATTTTCGTGCTCGAGGAACACCTTCCAGCGTGGCTAAGTAAAGGTCTGATGAAGAAAGTGAACATCTCGATTTTGGCCCATTTAGTGCAAACTGGTCATACTGTCAGTATAAACCAATCCTCTTCAATAATTTATCGGGTCAGTAATTGCCAAAGCTTGTCAAACTTAAGGGCCTTCAAACGGCTGAAACAGTAGCCACCCGGATTAAGAAACTGGAGCTATGCGTACAAAAGAAATATTTTCAACTGCTTCTCCCCTAGCCAACCTCAAGGCCAATTATTCAATAGTAATCTTGGCTATTGAATGACCTGGTTTGACTACTGTACTCAAATGTAATTGTCTCTATTATATTTATTCACAAATCTTTGTATTATTATTAGCGAAGATGGATGGTGGCTAGCAGTGGAATCCAGGCCGGTCTTAATATAAACATAGGTTCATGAATAATACTAGAGTGGCTGGTTTAAATCTTGATAACGCTCACTAAAGTCAAGGCCTCATACAGTAAATTTTAATTTTCAAAATTCGAGACAGTATGTAATAAAACTGGATTTTTGAATTCAAGAAGACGTGGTAACGAATTCGCTTATAAATGAAGCTGAACTACTTGGCAAGATTTAGGCGTTGTAGTTCGTTAAAATTATTTTTCGGGGGTACTTTTTGAATATTTATACGCCTTCAGTAACATCATAAGTGAGTTTAAATTCAGTTGGATAGGTTAATTGATGATTCACACTTTTCCCTATGTTTACTCTCAAGTGTCCAGTTGATTGGCCAGCTATTCGCCCTTGCGTTGATCCGTGTTCATTTACATATCAACCAACCCTTGTCAATCGGATACCTAAACCATTTGGCATTGAGGATACAGATATTTCTAGTTTGACAGCGGAACGACAATGTCAAAATCTGAATATCTCCCCTACGGACTCTGGCGACTATAGAAGATTTTCAAAGCACTCTGAAAATACTTTCGACAGCGATGTACGATGGCACATGTCCTACTTAAGTATGTGTCCTTCTCATCAAGTTCAATTACATCGTGTACTTCGAATATCTCAATCCAATTTAGAATCTCGGATAACACAATTAATTGGTCGGTCTGGCGTTGATTGTCATAAGAATCTACTCTGGTATAAACTGTTCGATACAAATTCTTCTCTGGCTACTCAGATTCTTTCGACGAATAGTCGTTCTTTGTCCCAAGATGCTGTTGAAACCAACTGTCGAGTGGAAGACGCTTCATCTATTTCTTTAGGCACCAACCTGAACCCGGTAGATAGTTACCTATGTCCTGTTCTGAACCATCAGAGTCTGTCAATGCGAGAGATAGAAGTAATTTTTTTTTATCATAGTCTGTTTCTTCCTATTAATTAAAATGTGATTAATCTTATATCGACTCTGCATTGTAAACTGTTTTAAGTTTATATTTCGTTATATCACGACGGTTCTAGGTTTTGAAAATATCATGTCGCAAAAGAGTAGTTAGCCTAAAAGCACTATATATCCTAAAGAAATAGAACAACATGAACACCATCAGACTTACTTTTTAGTTTACCACAGTTGTCATCTAAGTGAGCATGTTACTTTTCTTTAGCCAATTAATTAATTTATCTTATAATAACCTTGCAGATAGTTGTCATTGGTAAATATAAAACAGATAGGAAAAGTTTCAATAACTTATCACATTCCCAACTGTTATATTTATAAAAGCACTCTGAAGAAACCAATACGGAGAGCAACATAGCAAGATGAATTATAATATAAGTGAAAAGGAACTAAGTAAGCGAAATGACATACCATTTTATTAAGTATAAGTTACATATACATTCCTTTCTTGACAAACCTATTTATATAGATTTTTAGTATATTTATATTGTCGTCATAAGTGAACTTCTCGATGCTCATTTTGTTCTACGTGAAACTTAATTTTTGTTGATTCGTATCGCAAAAGACAGGCATGATAAAAAAAATCTACTGATTTTGAAACGAAATTATATATCAGTGTTCTTTTGAGTTTAAAGACTATTGTTGTCCTTTCGAAAATCTGCTTTCAAAACTCCCTTACAGCGCAAATGTTTTTGATTCTAAAAATAATAAACGCTTTTCGCTTGCTAACAAATATGATATCAAGGTTCAGGACATAATCTGGGTAGATATTTACTGATTTAGCCTAATAGTCTAACTATACTGTGTATTCTCATGGACAGGACTTAGTCGATATTTAACACCATAGTTTAATATTAATTACCATCGTGATATTGACTCTTATGTGTAAGCACTATTCTTGTTAATTTATATTTGCATTATCTATCGGTTTTATGCATCTTTTTTTCTGACAATTCCAAGGAATTAGTTGATTCTGCACCATTTCAGCTGGATATTCTACGTTTGGATCCTCGTTTAATTGAATTGTTTAATGTTGGTGGTTGCCATTTGAACTCTGTCAGTGTATTGTTAAACAAAGAATTTATTGATTTACAGCAGAGTAGTCACCATCAAATTGACCAGATGAAATTGACTATCAGTTCAAAATTATATAAATATTCTACATCGGAAACTATACCATGTATAGCCTACCGATTTAGTCATTCAGTTGAAAGCAAATTGGATGAAGTATCAAATACCGATCGTCAATGTACAAAAATTATATGGTCTTGTTATCACCATCATTCACTGAAGGTCTTATATTTCTTAGTTGGTGTGAAAGTAGTAATGATGAATGTGTTCTAGATGAATATTCTACAGTTTACACATCTTGTCCTATGAAAAATACGTACTCTAATGGTGTTGGTACTAGGAAAAGTAGTTGTTTTATAGATGCCAGTGAGAACAATCCAAAAACACCCCAAAGTCATCATATGGAAATAAGAAACCATAAATATAAAGTAGGTTTGTGTGCTTGTTTTTTATTATAGATTTAAATAAGAATTATGCAGTAACTTCACACATCAGAATTGATGATTATCTTCAGCAGTCTGCACTAAAACTTCATTGCCGTTCATTCTGTAGTTCTACATAAAATGGTATTTGACCTTTCATTTTATTTATTTATTTGAACACATGAATATTGGAACAAGGAGGCACCACAAAAATCAAGTGATTTGCATGTGGGCTATGATACTACCCGGGTGCCCAGACCGAAGCAGGTGATTTCCTTAGGTGGCCACACTCGGAGCCTTCGACTTAAAGGTCGGATCCACAAGGCAGTGGAGCAACGTCAGGAGATGCGGTCCCATGGTAACCGGTGACCAACAATAGGTTCATCCGCTATTTGTTTCTTCAAGATACTTGAGCCCATGTGTACCAGTGGTTTGGAATCAGGGTTTTCCAACTCCAATAGGTGGACTCTCCATGTCCACTAACCCGGTTAAAGCGCCGGACATTCGCTTTTCATTCCTAATTTCGTAAAGAACACCCTCGCCGCGAGATGGCAGTAAGAAGGACTTCCTTAGCAGTGGCTACATACGCGTGGCCATGTGAGAGCACTTCGAGAAGGAGAGCTAACTCGCCCCACCCTCGGCCATACCATTTGGAGGCATTTATATCGGGGCATAATATCATGAAAATTCCAAGTCCTGTATGAAAGCTTTACGATTCTACCATATTAAATGAGTTACCCCTCGTGGGGGAATGGGCCTCTTGACAGGATCCTTCAATAAACTCTATCTTCGGTCCGACTTTCCAGTTTTTTCCAAGTGTTATTCATTATCTTGATGTCTGCTTCCGATTCCCGACGTAGTGTGTTCTTCAGCCTTCCTCTTTTCCGTCTCCCTTCAGGATTCCAAGTTAGCACTCACCTCGTGATGCAGTTTGGTGATTTCCGTAATCTGTGTCCTGTCCACCTCCAACGTCTTTTCCTAATTTCCTCTTCAGTTGGAAGCTGGTTGTTTCAGTATCTTGCGTAGACGATTGTTTACAAATACTTGTGCTTTTTTGGTGACGGTTGTAGTAGTCCTCCAAGTTTCAGCTCCGTACAGTAGAACTGTCTCGACGTTCGTATTGAAGACTGTGACTTTGATGTTGGTTGACAGTTGTTTTGTGTTCCAAATGTTCCTTAATTGTAGGAATGCTGATCTCGCTTTGATAATCGTTGCCTTTACGTCTGTAACAGATCCCCCTTGTTCATCGATGATACTGCCCAGGTAAGTGAAAGTTTCCACCTCTTCCAGAGTTCCTCCATCAATTGTGATTGGTTTTGTGTTCTCTGTGTTGTATTTGAGGATGTTGCTTTTTCCTTTGTGCATGTTGAGGCCTACTGATGTAGAGGCTGCTGCTACACAGTTGTCTTCATCTGCACTTGTTGGTGTGTATGGGACAGGAGTGATAGGTCACCTGTGAAGTCCAAATCGTCTAGTCGCATTCAAGCTGTCCAGTGTATTCCGTGCTTTCCCTCAGATGTCGAGGTCTTCATAATCCAGTTGACCACCAGAAGGAAGAGCAAAGACGAGGGTAAGCAGCCTTGTCTGACTCCGGTTCTCACTTGGAATGCATCTGTCAGTTGTCCTCCATGCAGTGTGGTCCGTCGTGTATACACTTACGACATTGTGATCGATTCTGAGTCATATCACCCAGAGTCTCCAACCATTGGTTACGTTAGTCGCGCGGACCCTAACCAAGTAATCTGCATCTACCAACATGGCTCAGACTAGAAGTTAGTGACTTCAAGCAATGATGCGACGTTTTGGTTTGATCGCCCCTAACTTCCTTCCAACCGTCTCCAACACTAGTCAGCATTGCGCGCCGTGGTAGTGTGTGGTTGTGTATGCGTAACACGTGACCCAACCATCAGTCGATGAAGATCCACAACCTCGTCAACTGATTTACCATCATTCCCCAATCGCCTGAGTCTAACCTCACTATTACTTACCCGGTGATCCCAGCAGACGCCAGCAATATTTCTAAGACATCTGTGATCAAATACAAGTGACTTACGAGTATCTTCTACTCCTAATGGCCACGTTTTGCATCCGTAAAGTAGAACAGAACGAACTGCTACGCAGTATACTCGTCCGTTAGTTGATAGACGGATATCTCGGCTTCGCCATAGGTTGAAAAAGCCAAACGAGCTTTCTGAATCGGTGCAGAGAATTCGTCAGACACCAACGTGAAGTTGTCGTCACGTTCGACTACTTCACTCCCTATCCTTAGTTCAGGTGTTGACGCAGACCAGTCCTGAAGCAATAACTTGGATTTAGAGGGAGAGAAGCGCATTCCAAACATTCTGGCATTGTTGCTCAGTGCTACCAAAAGACTCTGCATTTTATCAGCGTCTTCACCAAACAGTACTATGTCGTCTGTGTATTCTAAGTCGATATGTGGACCTCCTGGAAGATCAATTCTCGAAAATTCAGTCGACAAGAATGTTATATCCATCAGTAGGTCTATGTTGAAGTTAAACAAAAATGGAGAAAGTGGACAGCCTTGACGGACACCACTTGAGGTTGCAAAAGTAGATGACAGTTCGCCATAAGCTCTGACTCGACTTGTAGTGTTCTAGTAAAGAGCGTTCACAAGGTTTATGTACTTCTGGGATACGCCTTTCAATGAGAGACACTGCCACAGAACCTCTCGGTCTTCGGAGTCAAATGCTGCTTTTAAGTCAAGAAAAACCACCATTGTCGGGCGCCGACTAGTATGCCTGTGTTCTAGAACCTGACGAATGGTGAATATGTGGTCGATGCATCCACGACCAGGTCTGAGGCCTGCCTGATTTTCTCGTGTTCGCAATTCACGAGTCTTAATTAGGCGGCCGATAATTATTGACTCTAGTATTTTAAACGCTGTGTTAGTCAAACCAATCCGTTTATGAATAAAAATAATATATTTGTAATATCCCAATGAGTAAAAAAGCCAATTTTCTACTCATTGGGATATTACAAATATGTTATTTTTATTTATAACAATGAACCGAATGCTCAGTTTATTCGAAATTATCAAATCAAACCTTGGTAATGACACCTATAATCCGTCTATCGTTATCACAGGATTATTTTGACCCTCTTTGACAACCATAGAGAGATCAGTATATTTGTAAACGAGTATTTGTGCATTTATTCGGTAGCACAATATACGTTTTTGTCCACTCTTGTGTTTTCACTCAAGTAGTCAGGTGGGTGGATGGTGTGTAGCACGTTGTGTATCAATATCAGATTTCTGATACCACCTGTCACTACAAGTTATTGCTCTAGTTGTCAGAAGGGACAGCGATTTTGTGATTTCGAACGATCTCGGCTTTCATCATGAGTCTACATAACTCTTCGAAATGAAGATTCTTCAACTCTCAAGACACGCCTTAAATGCTTTAAATGATTTTTTGCTGTTTGGTGTTTTTTTTAGCAAATTTTTTGTCTAGGAGATGGGGTTTCTGACCATTTGCCAAACCCTCCTCCTCTATCCGGGTTTGGGATTGGCAGTAATCCTAGACGGGCTACAATCGAAGTTTTGTCAAATGATTAATCATGTTTAAGTATTTCTTCAGTATTGCGTTTCAAAACTTAATGTCCTCAGGTAGCAGATCAACTCCATCTTCCCATTGCTCTATCGAAATTTATAAAAGGGGCTAATAACCTTATATTTTGGTAAATATTACCGATCAATCGACTTATTTGTTATTTTTGTCTTATAATTCTAGGATTTTCAATTTCGTGCAGTTTTTCGAGCTGTTGGTGATCCAACCAATCCGTCGTCAATGCGCCGGTTAATTGATTCAGGTAGTGAAATACAGAATTTATTTTTTAAAACGTCAACACTAGCTCTAGTAGCCACTAATTTCATTGAGAAACTCAGTTTTTTCGTTTGGAAAACATTGCACAATTAATAAAATCTTTTTGATATAATTCTGCTCTGTTCGTTCAGTTTAATTAATTTGCATTGATGCATGATTTTCTACAACTTTTTAACTAACAACTATCCTCCTCTTAATCTTTTCTGTTGAATATTTCATTTATTTAAATTAAATTCGTGTCTAATTTGTTTTGCATATTTAGACATTAATGATGAGAATCATGACCGTACTTTTTTGCGTTGTTTTATTCGTCTTTCTATTTTGATAAACGAGAAGAGAACTTTATTTTACAGAACGTTTCTTTTTATTATTTTTAACATGGTGATTTGGTTAAGTCTAGTGGTGAGAATGGTTACCAAAAAGCTGTTCTGAAATTTTCCCACATACTGAGCTTTATGTCTGTGACGATATACGAGTTTATTGTTAGATCATAAATTCACCGACTAAATGACATCGTTCCATATTCCGGATTCATATTAGAAAACCAGGCCAAACTCGTTCCCCTAATGTTTATGGTGGCCTACTCACTAAAGAATTATTCAAAGTGGAAAATCATACCTTTTGTTTATTTTCTCTTCAGTGAAGGAATTTTCTTATTATTATTAGCTTTATTCAATACTATATTTTTGGTACAACGTAGATTTTTCAGCATAAAGTATTTCAGCGAATTTCCACTTCTTATTTCTTGATCGATATTGACGATAATTGTTGAGCGATCGCCAGTTAGATGTTAGCATTTCAGAAATCGACATCTGAATGATATTCATTCTTTTAGTTGAGTTTTACAGAAAGCCATTTCGGAAAAATATGGACGCATTATTGACTCTCAACCCAGGAGAATGGATCAATGGGGAGAACTTTTCAGGGATCAGTTCAACTGGCCTTCAGCGACAATTCGGTTTCTCACGATTCCCAGTTGACCTGAATGGCAAATTGATGCAAGTCCTTCAACTCTTTACGAAGTTGAAAAAGCTACAGGAAATCTGAAGCGAGAGAGAGCAGCAGACACTGGCAGGTTTACCCCTGAGATTTTTAAGGATGACGGTCCACTATTAGTAGCGAGATTGACTGAGGTCTTAGGTAGAATTTGGGAACTGGACGTAATCCCATCTGACTGGTTTCAATCACTGATTGTGCCAGTCTATAAGAAGGGACAAAAGTCCTCTTGTGACACTCACAGAGGAATCAGTTTGACTAATATAGTGTCTAAAATATTAGTCTCAATAATAATTTGACACCAAAACTAAGCTTTTGAATAGCAGACTAGAGAAAATCAGGTTGGTTTACGACCAGAACGTGGCCGTATAGGCCAGATATTCATACTGCGTCAAGTCCTAGAACATAGACACACATTCAGATATCCCACAATGGTAGTATTTCTCGGACTTAAGGCGGCATTCGACTCTGTTGATCATGAGGTTCTATGGCAGTGTTTATCACTGAAGGGAGTACCAAAGAAGTACATTAACCTTATAAAGGCTCTCTACTCGAACACAACTGGTCGAGTGACAGCTCATGGCAAACTGTCATCAGAATTGATTACCTCAAGTGGTGTTCGTCAGGGCTGTCCACTCTCTCCATTCTTGTTTAACTTTGTCGTCGACGTACTTTTAGAGTTAACACTTTCCTCATCTACATTTACAGGAGTTGAACTTTTACCGGGAGATTCACCTGTTGACTTGGAATATGCCGATGATATAGTTCTGTTTGGTGAGGACTCTGACAAAATATAGAGTCTTCTGACCACCATAAGCAACAATGCATGCATGTTTGGGATGCAATTCTCCCCCTCGAAATGTAAAATGTTGATTCAAGATTGGGTTGCCTCGACAGCTGAACCAATGATAGTGATTTCACAGGTTGAAATCATGAGTCAGTTGAAGCTAGACCATGATTTCAACCTGTGAAATTTCTAAAACTCTCTACAAAACCCATTCTGATAATAATCAACTGCTCACTAGTGACTGACTTCAGGAAAAACTCCTGGATTCTAGTGAGAAGCCGTTACCAGTGGAGTTCAACCGGTCTGTTGTGAGATAACTCACTGAGGACAATGGTATACGGTGGCGCAACTTCGTGGATTGGTTGAAGTTATACATTACCACCGTTGGATGCCGGCTCAGTGGTTAAGTGCTCGCGCGCGAAGCCAGTAGGTCCTGGGTTCGAGCCCGCGTGGTGCGGGATCGCGGATGCGCACTGCTGAGGAGTCCCATACCAGGACGAAACGCCCGTCCAGTGCTTCCAGGTTTTCAATGGTGGTTTAGCTTCAACTGACTCATGATTTCAACCTGTGAAATTTCTAAAACTCTCCACAAAACTATTCTGACAATGGTAGTGAGTGAAGTAGTTGAGTGTGTCGACCGCTTCACTTATCTTGGAAGTCTCATCAGCCCTTGTGGTCTGGTGTGTGACGAAATCTCAGCACGGATACAGAAGGCTCGACTAGCTCTTGCCAACTTGCGTCATTTATGGCGTAGGCGATATATCCATCTACCAACCAAAGGACGTGTTTAATGTTTTATGACTGTGGAACATGGCCGGTAAGAGTAGAGGATATTCGTAGGTTACTAGTATTTGATCATAGGTGTCTTCGAAGCATTGCTCGTATATCCTGAGACCACCGAGTAAGTAATGCAGTTGATAGGACACGGGTACTAGGTAATGATGGCAAATCGACTGATGAAGTGGTGAAACTTCATCAGTAGATATGGCTGAGACATGTGTTACATATGTCCAACCACCGACTGCCTCGACAAGTGATGTTTTATGGTGTAGGAGTAGGTTGGAAGAAGGCTAGGGGCGACCAGACCACAACACGGCACAAATACATGAAGTCATTGACAAGTGGACTGAGCCATGTTGGTAGGTGTAGACTACCTGGTTGGAATCCGTGAGATGACAGCAGCCGATGGTTAGAGCCCTTGAATGACATGGCTTAAAGTCGTTTGCAACGACACGAGTGCATCCACTCTTTGTGTTCTCCCAAATTTCAATCCTCTGAATTCTCATGTCCCTTATTTTTTCTCTTTCCAAATTTATTTCACTGGATTATACTTCTTGAATAACATCTTCAAAACCTAGTGTTTCCGATTACTGCTTATACTCTTACTACTTCTACCACTATGATATTTGAATCGACAATTGTATCTATGTGCTAATGTGGTATGACAACTCGAACTGATGTACATACGTACGAAGTTCTACGTTGTTGCTAACTTACGGACTGAAATGTGATTGTCCGTTTACCACAAAACATTTTGATCATTTCTTTTAATTGATTTGTTAGATAGCAGATAGATCCCACTTAATATTATGTGCATGATGATAACTGACTATAGTAAGTCTCAAATGAACGAAGTGAATCTTTTTTTAACGTTATCCAAAATATTCGCTTCTGTTCCAACATAATTCAATGTAAAGTTTCAGTCAGGTTCTCACATCTAACTGCTTGTTATTCTGATTTTTTATTCAGTATACAGACTTTATTAATCAAACGTTTATCAGTACTTATACAACATCCCAATTATAGTATTTTTTTGTTAGGCTGGATTCATTTTGTTTTCACAACTTCGATTTCTTAGCTTTATAATACTACAAACAGGGTTGTTTTCAGTTATGATGGTTATTGCTGATCATTTTTTAATCTAGATCGAAATTTGGATTAAGGGAAAAGGAAAGCGAACTGATTTCTTTTGAACTCAGTTATATCCGAAGTTGCGCCACCGTAGGTCCTGGCTTCGAATCCCTCGGGGTGCGGGATCGTGGATGCGCACTGCTGAGGAGTTCCATACTAGGACGAAACGGCCGTCCAGCGCTTCCAGATTTTCCATGGTGGTCTAGCTTCAACTGACTCATGATTTCAATCCATAATAAAAACATACACACCAATTCCGAGGTGAATAACTTTCAAAGTTTGTTATTGTCAATCTTTCACCCGTTCCTAATAGCAACTAACGCGATATGGAATGAAATGAATGAACGAAATCATATTTTCAATTATTTTTTTTATTTCACGTCTGTGCATGTTAAACAACCTCTTATAAACAATGAGTACTGGGCGAATATTTCGTTGTTCTGAAAGTTACTATTTTATATCCATGACTACTTTTATGAACAGCTGAAAACCCTCAGTCTTTAAAAATGTATGATCAACATCAATAACTCTTTTCATGTACGACATCATCACTTACATGTTTCCCTACATTTCTTGACAACAGTAAATGTAAATCATAACCTATTATCCGTCGTCGAAATGAACATTTTAAATTACAATGATTGAAAACATTTTTCTAATCAACTCTCAGTTCGTTGTTCAAAATATGTTAGTCATTAGCATACGAAATCACTTGTTGTAATTGATCTCAGGCATATCGGTTTCTAAACGAGCAGATCGACTGAACTTCAAATTAACAACAAGCGTTCATCACAAACTGATCAGTTTGTTAAATAAACCAATCTACTTTTTTTACAGCCAAATGAAATGTAAACCAGAGTAACCTGTTAAATCTAAGTTTAATATTGGGGTGTTGACTGGAATTTACTGAGAACTGTTCACTGGGATGAATATATTTGGCTAATTGTATGCAGTTACTTAATGAGTGTGAAAATTGACCTTGTAAGGTAATTATATAAAACCCTGAAGCAAAACATAAAATATATTGGTTCAAATATTTCCAAACGGTTACATTAAATACGTACGTGGAGCACTCAACAAATTTACTTGTAATATTATTGATCGCAGCAGTAAGAGTTGCGGATTGAGATAACTGGACGAGCACTAGCTTCCTTAATATTGAATAAACATTTTGGCTTTCAGGGCTAGTCAATAAAATATATAGTCACAAAGATCCTTCTCAACCGTATTCACTAATTTAACAACAAAAAGTGCTTGTTAATATACACTCACACTGACAGATCAATTATGATTCCAAAATTATCATTTCATTCAAAAAAGGATAATCAAACTATGGAGAACGCAAGTAGCATAGTATAATTTACAAGAAAAGGAAATAAAAGGGTTCTCATACAGAAACAAAACAATGAGCTTCGATAGAGTTGGAAACTAGAAAACACTACCGGCTTCTCTGTTAAATCGACTCGGTTCTCTAAACAAATTACTTTCTTTTAAGATCAAATAAAACGACTGATAGATTGACGGATTATTCTGAAGCGTACTTAGTATGCACGACAAGGATGGCACGTTTGAATATCCTGAAAAGGTTCTGCATAAAATACAGTAAAATTGCAATAGTATTTGCGACCATAAGTGGTGTAATCTATGAATTTAAACTCATCATTTTACCTGCGAACCAATTTATTTTAAGGAAACGGGAACAGCAAACTTGGCTAGTTAATATTACATCTTAAGAGGACAATTTAATTTTGCCACCGATATGTACCTTCTGAAAAAGCTACCTGATGCGTAGGGACCGCAGAATCTAAGACACTAATGAACTATAGAATATATTTTTACCTGAAGTGGCACGAGATATTATTACATACAACCTATAAGTTTTCACGTGCGTTGAAACTAGTGCTCCGCATCTTGCCATTAACCACCAGCAATTCCGTCGTTATCAGTACACAGCGTGGTACAAGACGCCACACTGAATCAGCAGGAAGAAACGAAGTTAACAGGATTAATAGCAAACAATTCAAAATACTAGTAATATTAATTATAGTGCGATAGACTAAAATATGGTTTGAATGTGGATATCCATTTCTGATGAGTATTCGTCTAAGTTGAAGTAGTTCCTCGCCTTTTGTGTCATGAGCGCATATTTGCCTAGTCTTCAAGGAAAAAGCGAACTAGGTCCCTGTTTCTAGCCAATGGGACTCGACTATGGAAATTTGCATTCTGACCAATCTATGTTGGTTTTCTATGTACATGTGTTTGTGAGGGAGCATCTCTCCTTTTCAACAAGGCATAAAGTAAATGAAATCCCGCGTTCATTTCTGCTCCTAAAGAAAACTCAATTGAGCGATGACAACTATTTAAATTTATCCAAGATTTCATTAACTTCCATATTTTCTTCACATATCTCCTATGTAGATGAAATTCCTCGATTGATTGGAGTACAGTATTTCCCCGATTTATCGTGAAACAATCAGACAAAAGAGGACCCAACGGTAAACCATCTCTATGATTATTTCGGTTCAATCATTAATACGAATGTACAGCTTAAGTAAATGACTTAATTTAAAGCAAAATTCTCTTGAATATTATTTTTATTCAATGACACAATGGGTTATTTTAATGGCCTTTTAAGAGACATAAAATCAATATGAAATAATTAGTCTACTGACTATACAGAAGAATAGAATGAGATCAGCTTGGCAATGTAGTAGTATGAATAAATATCACATGCGATGAAATTTCCAACACCAGACTAAAATGCCTGTCTGATTTGGTTGATTCATAGATAGACAATATTAATTCTATACTCAAGTTAAATTATCGAAACTTTATGTTGAAGTATTAGTATACGTCCCCCAATTTCTAAAAGCATTTTTCACTTCGCATACTCCTCAAAGACATAACTGTACCATAAGATCAGATTAAACATGTGTATAACAGTAAAAGTCTAATTTTGTGTATTAATTCCATAAAAACAAGTAGAATTTCCACGAGTTGATTTTAAGCAAGAACAAAAATGACGCAGTTTCCATATTCTTATTTCTAGAGCTAATTTGTGTATTTTTATTTATGGTGACTGTCCATTTAACCGAATATACTTCAAAAAAGTTTAAAAAGAGCTTGTGACAGAATGAAGTGCAGTATCCCTCACAAAAATAGCTTTAGTTGCAGCATTTCCAGACGGAACAAATATGCTAGTTAACGAATGAAGATGTCGTTCGCTAACAGAAAAAAATGCTGCATTAAGTCGTATTCTTACGTTGCAACCACAAATGCATTTTCGTAAACTAATGACTCGAAAGTTGGGGACTTTGATCACGCGAAACAGTTCCAAGTAGTCAGTTATGTGATAAGTATAATGGGTTGACCGGACCAAACTATTGAAAAAAGTCTAAAGTTTGGCAAGATTAAAATATAATTCAGATATATGAACTAAACTTTTATCATTATGTTCTCCAACAATATTCGTATATCACCAAGAATTCTGATGACCAAAACGCTACCAAGTTGGAATGACAGTTACTTTTGCAACAAAGATTAATTTATATACTGCTGCTCATTGTATGTCAAATTAGTTTACACACTGATGATAACAATTATTATTATTGTTATTATTATTTGAACACATAGATATTGGTACAAGGAGGCACCAAATACGTATGCTCCACACAAATCTCAATTGATATGTGGGAGGGCTGTGATACTGCCCGGGTGCTCGAACCGAAACAGGTGGTTTCCTTAGATGGCCACATCCGAAGCCTTCGACCTGAAGGTCTGATCCACAGGGCAGTGGAGCATCGTAAGGAGATGCAGTCCCATGGTAGCCGGTGACCAACGATTGGTTCATACGCCATTTGTTCCCTTAGGATACTGGAGCCCATGTACACCATTGGTTTGGAATCAGGGTTTTCCAACTCCACTAGGTGGACTCTTCATGTCCACCAACCCGGTTAGAGCACCGGACATTCGCTTTTCGTCCTCTCAATTTCGTAAACAACACCCGTAGTGCGAGAAGGCAATGAGTAGGACTTCCCTGGCAGAGGCTATATACGCGTGGCCATGTGAAAGCATTTCGAGAAGGAGAGCGGACTCTCCCTACTCTCGGCCGTAGCAGGACATTTGGAGGCGATGATAACAATTGTAAAAGTGATAGTAATAACAATTTCAGTTACGAAAAATTGAAGTAGCGGACAACTACAGAACTTTGGTATTATGAAAAACTAACGTCTACATTAAGATATTCTTAATGTACGGATATATTTCGCGCCTTATATCAAAGAAAGAAAGGACTGTTACGTGATTATCAATGGAAGAGTTGTAGAAGCATATCCTTACGTATGTAAATGGGGTTATAAATGCCAAGTATATATATATATATATATATATATATATATATATATATATGGAAGACAGCAGAAAGTAGGCTAAATACTTTCATACGATAATAAGAGAAAAACAGTATTTCCACATCACAGTACAAATAAAGGAAACAAAATAACTATGAGAAGTACGTGTTTATAATAGTATACTTCAATAAATGATATTAAAGTAGAGATTGTGACGAAAGAGTAAAAAAATGAAGCACAGAAAAACAAAGTAATATTACTTCCAAAACAAACCTTAAAATACATCAAGCTGAATTCGGACCACTTTTGTTTTGAGAAAGAAACAATTGGGAACATAATGAGAATCCACTCAAAATGTTGAGATTAAAAAGAGAACTTCTGATAAATTCCTTATAGACCGACACTTAAGCCTTGGCGCTATTTACAATTGATAATTAAGGCAAAAACTAGTAGAGGCAAAAATAATAATTGAAAGAACTGATTAACATTGAGAAAAGACTCACAGATCATAAAACAAAGAAAAGTAGTGGATGGACACAATTTACAAACAAGTGGAAAATAGAAAAGTCCCTTGAATCAACTAGCTGATTGTCTTTTCTTGAGAAAGTACTAAAAATCAATCATGAGATGATTTTCATCAACAAGATATGTTGATTAGTAATGGCTATGGCGATAAACATGTAAAAGTGACTAACTAATGATTCACCACATCTGATAAACAGCCACAGTAGACAAAATATGGAGTTAGATGAGACTACGTGATGTTATAAGGGAGATGCAAGGACAGTTTCTTGGGATTTAATATCATGTGAACCATTTGTAGTGGAGCTTTGTGCACGTACAGGAAATTGAGAATGGACTGCTTCATGACAAGACAAATTGCATATATTTTTTTCAATTGAGTCAATGATGCCTAAGATGTGTGGATGCAACAAGTGGTCAAGAGTGCAACAGTCGACAGCTAACTGGAAAAACCAAGTAGGACAATCAGGAGGCACCGGGAGGTTTTCGTGATCTAAACCAAAAGACTGGAGAAAATAAAACAAACTATATATACAACAGTGTAGGATAATTTTCATGAAACTGGGGAATGTACATAAATAGAATTCTAATACGTAAACTTACAACTGTCAAAAAATAGCCATTTATTATTGGCTACTGTAATTTGAAGTAAACTATCATTAATGTCTCAGTTAGTATTACCAGAACAAAAGAACGCAAAATGTGTACAATAAACGACCGTCATGACTACAAGATAATTGTTGCGATATTAACACACCTTGGGATGTGTATGTAAACTAACTTCGCTTTAAAACGTTCAAATAAGTTACTACTAGCTTGAATATTCGAGTCCCAATATGTTAGGAGCCATGACTTCAGTTAATCCATCTAAGATATTATGATTTCAGTCAGTCAGTCAGTAACAACGTAGAACTTCGTACGTACGTACATCAGTTCGAGTTGCCACACCACATTAGCACAGAGATGCACTTGTCGATTCAAATCCCGTCGTGGTAGAGGTAATAAGAGTATAAGCAGTAATCGGGAAGATTAGGGTTTGGAGATGTTATTTAAAGAGTATAATCCAGTGAAATAAATTTGGAAAGAGGAAAAAAGGGACATGAAGAATTCAGAAGATTAGAATTTGGGAGAACACAGAGAGTGGATGCACCTGCGCCATTGCAAACGATTTTGAGCCATGTCATTCAGGGTCTCTAACCAACGGTTGCTGTCATCTCGCGGTCCCCAACCAGGTAGTCTACACCTACCAACATGACTCAGTTCACTTGTCAGTGACTTCATGGACTTGTGCCATGTTTTGGTTTGGCCGCCCCTAGCTTTCTTCCAACCTACTCCTATACCACTGAACATAGCACGTCGAGGCAGTCGGTCGTTGGGCATACGTAACACGTGTCCCAGCCATCTCAACTGATGAAGTTTCACTACGTCATCAATTGATTTGCCATCCTTACCTAGTACCCGTTTCCTAACAACTGTGTTACTTACTCGATGGTCCCATGATATATGAGCAATGTTTCGAAGACACCTATGATCAAATACTAGTAACCTACGGATATCCTCTACTCTTACCGGCCATGTTTCACTGCCACAAAGTAGGACGGAACGAACTGCTGCGCAGTAAACACGTCCTTTGGTTGATAGACGGATATCTCGCCTACGCCATAAATGACGCAAGTTGGCAAAAGCTAATCGAGCCTTCTGTATCCGTGCTGAGATTTCGTCACACACTAAACCACAAGGGCTGATGAGACTTCCAAGATAAGTGAAGCGGTCGACACACTCAACTACTTCACTCCCTATCACTAGTTCGGGTGTCGATGTAACCCAATCCTGAAGCAACATTTTGCATTTCGAGGGAGCGAATCGCATCCCGAACATGCTTGCATTGTTGCTTAGAGTGGCCAGAAGACTCTGCATTTTGTCAGTGTCTTCACCAAATAAAACTATGTCATCAGCATATTCTAAGTCAACAAGTGAACCTCCTGGTAGAAGTTCAACCCCTGTAAATTTAGATGAGGAGAGTGTTATCTCTAAAAGTACGTCGACCACAAAGTTGAACAAGAATGGGGAGAGTGGACAGCCCTGACGAACACCACTTGAGGTGATCAATTCTGATGACAGTTCGCCATAAGCTCTCACTCGACCAGTTGTGTTCGAGTAGAGAGCCTTTATAAGGTTAATGTACTTCTTTATGATTTAAATCTCAGTTATAACAAACGACGGCAGAGATATACATATCTTTTCTGAGTAGTTTGTAGTGACTCACATTTATCACGAGAACACGACTGGTTTAATAAAAACAATTATTATTATAACCAACTGTACCAGTGTTTGTTTTAATGTGCTTTTGTTTGACTGTGCTAATGACAGCTTTATTTTGCTTCCATTCTTTTACTTACACTTTGATTGTAACTTCGCGCGAATTCGGTTACGTTCTGTAACCAAGCTTGTATTCTGGCACGATCTCGGTATCCTTTCGATGCCACGAGATCGCCAGCGAATACATCTCGATTTGGTCCATTAACTGTCTTCTGATATTTGGCTTCTCGGGGATTTTATGGATCTATTTGGTTACGTCCAACCCTCGCCTTCTGATTCGCTTGGCACGTGTTTCTTTGTAGCGGTGTTCATAGTCAATTTCGACTCGACGCCACGCTACAATTGGTGATCCCAAAGTTTGGAACACGCCTCAACATCTGGTCAAATCTTCCAAAGAAGCCAATTCGGTGAGTCTATGATTTATCTATCCACGTCTGTCGTATATTTTCATATTTTTTAATATTTAATATACACGACATGACGGATAACGATAAGAATAGTATTAATATAATAGACTCACATGTACGTGTACCGAATCCTTGTTACTTTTTATTCGCGTGACGATGAATTCCACGCTTTATTCGAGAAATTTTCCCCTATTAACTATTCTCCTCGCTGACCCGGCTGCTTGGTACGGAATGCATACGCATAAGCATATCCGTCTACCACCCAGCACCAAATGGTTAAGTAAACGGTTTCACTGCCAACTTAAAATGCTCTACGAGCACACGAAAACGGCAACTGGCACGAAACCTTACCGCTCGTTCTTTTAGGGATCACAACGAGCTTAAAGGCAGATATCCAATGTTCCGCCCTTGAACTTGTATACGGCACGACATTGCGTCTGCCCGGAGAATTCTTCACACCACGGAGCAGACCTAATTTCGGTAAATCAGACTACGTCCATCGACTGTCTGCATTTATGCGAACGCTGTCTCCGGTGTCAACTCGAATACAACATCGACAGGTCGCTCTCCCTCGAGAGTTATCTACCTGTTCACATGTTTTCATACGAGTAGATTCGGTACGCAAACCTTGGCAACAACCTTACGAAGGCCCTTTTCACGTGATCGCTCGTCACGAAAAGACCTTCAAGGTTGATCGATATGGACGCGTCGAGATCGTCAGCATTGATCGTCTCAAACCAGCACACGTCGATGACAGTGCCCTATCTGATAACCTGAGATTCAATGCTAGACCTATCAAACCTGCTAGCGGGATCCTTAAATCTTCTTCAGGTCCCACGCTAGATACATCTGAGACCTCATTCTCACGTCCCGGTCAACAGCACGCGTCATCTGCACCGTCTACGGACGAGACGACAGTCTCACGTCCAGATCAGCAGACCACGCCGCCTCTGACCTCGGATGAGATTGCAGGCTCACGAGATACGAACGAGACTACCGTCTCACGTTCCGGTCGCCGAGTACGGTTGCCCGTACGCTTCCGCGACTAGCCGCACAGTTAACAACCGATACGGTGTAGGATTATTCCTATACTACACGCATGCTACACTCTTCTCTTTTTTGATTTTCTTTTTGTTTCCTGAGCCCACGCCTTCGACCATCTCCGTTTGGTTCCGTCGACTTCAGTCAACTTTGGCGAAAGCTGGCCTGATCACCCACGCTCTTGTCAACGTACTCAGTCGATATCTTCGTTTCGAATGCTTGGCACACGCTTGGTCTCGAACTTGGTCGTTATGGTCGCTTCTGGTTCATCGGATCAACGTGGTTTCGTCCTACGTCTGCAGCGTTTCTGGTCCGGACCCCTACGAACGCCATCTTCAGATTCTGGATACAAACCACTCTGGTGTAGCATGCCAACTCAAGCAACAAATACAGCACATCGCTCCTGGTACCGTTCTCCGAAAACGACCTTCGTTGGCAACTCGACGATCAACGATCGCTTTCCTGTTCGCCAATTCTTCCGTCCTACAATCGCTCGTCAGCCGATCAGTCCCACGATTCAAACCGCTATTTATCGAAAGTGTAAACCCTTTCTAGCGGGGGGCTCCTGTAGTGACTCACATTTATCACGAGAACACGACTGGTTTAATAAAAACAATTATTATTATAACCAACTGTACCAGTGTTTGTTTTAATGTGCTTTTGTTTGACTGTGCTAATGACAGCTATTTTGCTTCCATTCTTTTACTTACACTTTGATTGTAACTTCGCGCGAATTCGGTTACCTTCTGTAACCAAGGTTGTATCCTGGCACGATCTCGGTATCCTTTCGATGCCACGAGATCGCCAGCGAATACATCTCGACTTGGTCCATTAACTGTCTTCTGATATTTGGCTTCTCGGGGATTTTATGGATCTATTTGGTTACGTCCAACCCTCGCCTTCTGATTCGCTTGGCACGTGTTTCTTTGTAGCGTGGTTCATTGTTAATCACAACTCGACACCACGCTACATGTTAAAAGACTTCACAGAACGTCGGAAGTATCCTTACATAAATAATAGTAATTAGAACAAAAGATAGATGTCGCAGATAGTGTATAAATTTCGTTAACCAGAAATGGATTATACGAAAATATTTTACTCATGTCCAAACACTGCCAAACCTAACGAACGATGATGGTTGGCGTAAAACTAGAACAGAAGAAAACCAGCGACTCTCAAGCAAAGAAGTGGCATAAGTCCGTGAAGTTAGTGGCTGCTAGTTTGAACTGTGTTGGTAGGTGCAAATTATCTGGTTGGGATCTGTGCGATGAAATTGATTAATTCTAGGAGATATTGGATGACCTGGTTCAAAAGTGATCGCAATACCACAAATCAATCCAGTATCCGTCTATCCCCAAATCGTGAATTTCAAAGTTGTTTCAGATTTTTTATTCAACATATGTGAAGTAGATGAATCTTAGCAACCGCAGTCGATATAGACCAGGTTTATTTAAACTATCAATATATGGTAATAAGAGGACCGTAGAAGGTTGCAATGCTTTAACAGTTGGTGTCCCAAACATATCTAACTACAGTTAATAATACTCCGTAGGTTTACTTTATTTATTTGAACACGTAAACGTTGGTACAAGGAGGCACCAAATACATATGCGTCACACGAATTGAGTAATTTGTATGAGGGCTGGAATATTGCTCAGGTGCCCAAAGCGAAGCAGGTGGTTTTCTTAGGAGGTCACTCCCCGAGCATTTGACCTAGGGGTCTAATCCACAAGTCACTG